TCAGATTTGACTTCCTTATGGATTTTTTGCTGTAAAGAGGAGAGAGCCTATGGTTCTAGGTCAAGCATCTCACTCATCTCAAAACATCTTGTATCCCTTAGCGAACATTTATGTCAAGTTTTGGAAGTCCTGCAAACTGGCAAGCATTTCTCAATCTGGTTTAACCATTGGATTTTATATCTGTGTCTGCATCTCTATTTACATCTATGTGGTTATTTGGCACCTTGTAGTACCTTTGTAATAGGTTCTATTTGGTGGAAGTTATTTTCAACAAACCCTTGTTGCTACTAGAATTTTCAAGGTTGCATGTAGAAAGGAGAAAATAAAAACCACATCTTCTCTAATTTTAAAATTTGTTGTTCCTCAAATCACACCAGAAGTACAAATATTACAAATTACAAAAGCAGCCAGAATCAAGAGATTTCTGGGTGATTCTGGCTAATCAGTAGTATTTGCTGAGGTGTGTGAAGCAGAGCAACACACCAAGAAGCCCGGGATGGGGGAGAGTTGGGAGGCCAGGCTGTGACTTCAGAGGTGCTGTTGCCTCAGGGAGAGGAGCTAGATGCAGAGAGGATAAATGGCCGCAGGTGCGACCACCGCCATCCTTACCGTGGTACGGGGCCTTTGTGAGCTGAGTTATGAACCAGGTGAAGGCCGTGCAGGCGTCGGAGAATCCAGGCCAGACGCGACCGGTGGAGGCTTGGTGGAGGTGAGGAGCCAGACAGCCTCGCTAAATGTGCGGTGGCTCACTGCAGACAGCACCCATCAGTCGCCAGACAGACGGGCTTGATCTTCAGCCCCTACAACAGCTGCCCTTATCTTGTCTGCCTCCACCTTCTGAGGGCCTATAGGCGTCGCAAATGTGTGTTTTTAAACAGATTCGGATGAGTTGCTTTCTGCACAACACACCTGGACAGACGGAGGCTGGTTCTCCACAATGGCAGCAGGGACTTGGCATGGACTGGTGGGACAGAGCCTCGGAGCACAGCAGCAGCTCCCTGGGAGAAGATGGTGCCTGCGGGATGGAGGAAAGAAGAGGCAAAGGGTGCTGAGGCGTGAACGCCAGTTTGTTCTTAGACATGATACACGTCTTCCGGAAGTTTCCAAAAGCACCGTTAAAGCCACCAGTGTGGACGGATGCTGAGATCAGGACGCCCAGAACATACTTGTATTTGAAATCCTTCATGTACTGCAATCTCTTCAAAGAGGACCACAAGTCGTCTCTAATAATGTAAAATTAATTGTTTAGTAAGTGCCATGGCTATTTTTTTTTTTTTTTTGGTGGGGTACGGCTGGTGTGTGACAGTAAAACAGATGCAGTGACACAGCTGGTGGGTGTTGGTTCTGGGCCCCAGTTGGGCAGTTGTATGAAAACAAACCGAAAAGTCTCCACAGTGGTATGAACCGAAACACCTGGATTACGTGTTTCCATGTATTTAACATAAATGCACACATTTGTATTCTAAACATACATTTTTCTATTATGTAATAAAATTCACACCTTTAAGTATTTAGCATAGAAACAGCTGTGCAGCATCTTCTCCCTGCCCACAGATACCCGGATGTTCTGTGTGGAAACTGCTACTGTGGGCTTTGCGAGTGGTGAGCCGTGCACAGATATGTGCTACGTTTGCTGTGTCCGCTGACGCGAGTCCTGGTCAGTCCTGTTTCAGGTGGATGCTTTCCCTTGTAGTTCCCTTCTCTTGTTCTGTTTGTAAGTTCAGTAAACTCGGGACCAATGGTGAAGAGTAGGCGTTACAGGAGCGCGGTGTCGGCAATTAAGGAAAATCCACGCCAGTTGCACAAGGAGGCGTGCGGGGTTCCACTGCCTGTGTGAGCTATCACTGGTGAGGGCCTCTGGGCAGAAGCTCATCTGGGCTACTTGGAAATGCAGATTCCTGGGCACAGACCTGAGAGGCCGTGGAGTGACCACCCTCCAGGGATTCTGCCCAAACTTGGCCATCTTGTCTCTTGGCAGGTCGTCGGTGCCTGGCTGTCTCATTGACATGCCCGGCTATCACAGAGTTAGCTGAGTCATCTGCACAGCTGCTGTGGATGTGCTGATGGGTGTACGGGGCTGGCCCGTCTTCCTTTCTTCCCCTATGAAGTGTTTGAAGGTCTGTTATCCTACCCTGTTTCCTCCCTGTCCTCAGTGGGCAAGCAGGAGGTTCATTTTCACTTGCAGATGTGGAAAATTCTGAAAGTCTCATAAAGCAGCCAGGATCATCTTCAGAATCTTCTTTGTTCCAATCAGCTCTGATATTTTCAGTTGGAAAGACTTTTCCTCAAACATTTTGCATTCGTTCTGTATGAGAAGTGCTGTAGACTTTCCTGTTGTTTTAGTAATTAGGATCTGTTCTGTTGTCCATCACAAAGGTATATATTTTCATTCTGAGACACGCTGAGTCAGCCTTTGCAGTCCAGAGGGATTTCATGTGCGTTCATAGAAGCTTCCATCAGAAACCACATTCCAAATAGCTGTGGACATACAACCTGCTTGTGACTTTGGGAATTGCCAAAGTCAAATTCTCGATTTGAGGCTTTAGGGGCTTTAGAAATCTTGAAATTATAAAGTGAAAATGTGACAAAATTAAGTGTATTTAAAACAAAAGAGATATTATGCTGCGAGTTTTAAGGGCTGTGATGCATTATTTGGTTATCCTAAAGGATGTCCTGTTCCACCCAAGTTACAAATACATGAAATAATTTAAATATAAGGTGATCCCTTCAGAACATCCTGGATTTGGTCTTGATCTTCTGCCCTTGAAAATGTGATTCTTTCTCTTTTTTTCTTGAAAATGTGATGGTCTTAAACTGTGTGTCTAGACCATCTCATCTGAATTGCTTCAGAAACATCTGCACGGGCATCTTTCTATTCTTGGGTATAGAGAGATAGATATCATTACGCTTTAAAGTAGCAAAAGGCCCGTAGAGCAGTTTTTCTTAAACTAAGGAGCTATTGTTGGAAATCAAGGTGTAGCAAGTTATAGAATCTCTCAGTGAAAGTGATTATTTAAAATAGAAATCTTAGTTTTTAAAATAAAATGCTAATAGAGAACATTTTGTTCGCAAGAATGTAAAATGTTACATCTTAGTTTAGAATTTAAGGATAGTAATTTGCTTCTGAAATCTTTGTGACTGAGATCTGAAATCTTAACTAGGGTTTATCATCAATGTTTTATACATATGCACGTATACATATATACGTAAGGTATGTAAAAGGAAAATAAGCATGTCTGTATTTACATTTATATACACTTCTATAATGTGTATACTTCTAGTCACACAGAGGTCTAAGTGACTATGACTTTATTTGATGAGCAAGAGAGTAATTGAATAATTTTCCTGCTCTTAGCCTTGCTTTTGCATCTGAGCAGGGACCCTGCGAAATGTGCCTCCCATGTTCCAGGCCTCACACAGCCCGTGCCAGGTTTTGGAAGCAGGAGTTTTTCTGCAGCCACTTCGGGAAGCAGGTGGTTGCCAAGATTGCCTAGAGCTCCAGGCTGTCTCCAGTCCAAGCCCTCCCTGCGTCGAAGCTGCCCCACCAGGGGCCTGGAACCAGGGACTGCTCCGGAAGGAGGAGGGCTCCTGTCACTGCTGGGCATGGGAACCTAGGACAGGAGGTGGAACGAGCCTCGGGCCAGTGCACGGCATCCCGGGAGTACTTGCGGGAAGCCCCAGCCACACTTTCCTGACCCCACGGCCAGCACCCAACTCTGTGAGATCCCCTTGGCCCACCCCTCAGGTTCCTAAAATGGTTAGGGTTTCCTGGGCTGTGAATTTTTAAGTCTAGGCTAAAAAGTCCTGGGACAGACTCACAGGGTTCTTTATGTAGAAACGACGAGTGTGCTGGTGACTGAGAGCAGGCACTGCACCCTCACTCCAGGGTCCTTTGCGCCAGGTGGAAATGAGCGTGTGGGTCATGCAGAGTCCCTGCACCCTCACTCCAGGCAGTGCTCTTTGGTTTCTTAATTTAAAGCCTTGATAATGAAAATGTGTTCTCCCCAGAGTAGAGTTTCCGGTTACGGAGGCTCACCTGTAAAAGTCGTGCCAGGTCAAATATATTGGGATCTGGGCCAGGTCCTGCTTCCTGCCCATGGCCAAGGCAGGTACTTCATTTGGGAGGTGACCCAGAGGGACATCTGAGAGGCCTGCTTGTCCCTGAGGGATGAAGCCGCTGGCCTTCACACTCTGCTCCGGCCTCCATCAGCTCCTTCCTACCTGCAAAACTGCCTGCTTTTATGTTGCCATCATTGGAGATATGTTAGGAACTTCGTATGGAGAAACCCCCATAGGACAAGCAGATCGTGGAAAGGTGGAAACCAGGGCTGGGAGGGTGGTGACCACGGCCAAAATGAGAACTGTGGTGGGCTGGGAGGTCCATCTTCTGTCTAAAGTGTTTTTTAAAATAAAACAGTGTCTCAGGAGCATGAGAGGGCAGGCCACAGACGAGAACGTATCTGTAGAAGACTCATCTGATAAAGGCTGTTATCCAAACCATGCAAGGAACTCTCAAAACTCAACAAGAAAATTAACAACCTGATTAAAAATGGAAAAGAGACCTGGACAGATACCCCAACAAAGAAGATATACAGATGGCAAATCTATAAGTGGAAAGATGGCCCGCATCTTATGTCATAGAGCGAGGCACCACTGTACACCCAGCAGCCTGGTCAATACTGGAACTCCGACACCATCGCGTGCTGGTGGATGTGTGGGCATCAGGACCCTCACTCATCGCTGGGGGAAGTGGGGCAGCTGCTGTGGGAGGCAGCTGCTGTGGGGGGCAGCTGCTGTGGGGGGCAGCTGCTGTGGGGGGCAGCTGCTGTGGGGGGCAGCTGCTGTGGGGGGCAGCTGCTGTGGGGGGCAGCTGCTGTGGGGGGCAGCGTGGCAGTTTTCCGTGGAACTAAGCACTCCGACCACAGAAGCAAATCACAGTCCTGGACGTTTACTCAGAGGAGCTGAAAGTTTACCTCCACGAGGAAATGTGCACACAGATGTTGACAGCAGCTTTATAGCTTTATTTACAATTGCCAAAACTAGAAAGCAACCAAGATGCACTTCAGTAGGTGAACGGATAAACTGTGTTAGGTCAGAAACTGGGATACTATTCAGTACAAAAAAGAACTGGACCACTAAGCCATGAAAAGACACGGATCTTAAACGCATGTTGCTAAGTGAGTCTCCAATCTGGAAAGGCTGCCTGCTGTGTGAGTCCAGCCGCTGGGCAGTCGGGAAAAGGCAAAGCTGTGGAGACAGTAAAAACGGTCAGCAGCTGCCAGGGGTTGGGAAAGGGAGGGATGAATGGGAGGAGCATAGGGGGATGTGTAGGGTGGGGAAGCAACTCCGGATGGGGCTTTCATGGGGAATCCATGCCGTTCCATGTCTGTGAAACCCACAGAGTGAGCAGCAGCAGGCCGAGCCCTCGTGTGAGCTGTGGACTCTGGGTGGTGGTGCCGCGTTGATGCGGGTCTGTCAGTCATACAGAAGTGTGCTGCTCCGGTGGGGGCAGGAGAATGATGGAGGCTCTGCCTGTGCTGGGGAAGGAGATAGATATGTGAGGACTCTGTACTTTCCTCCTGATTTTGCTGTGAACTGAAAACTGCTTCTGAAAACGTTTATTGAAAAGGCAAACAAAAAAGAGTGCTAGCCAGATAGCATCTGTGTGAGGGTGTGGCCTGTGTTCTATGTTCAGGATTTCCCTGTTAGAATACACATATCTAAATTATTCAGAAGTTAAACCTTTGCATTAAGTAACTCACTACAAAGTTACAGTATCGGCTTGAGCACTGCCAGGATAGCCAGGATCCTGTATCCTGACTAGCTTCTCCCCTTACAGGTGCAGTGATGCCCATGGCCTCACCCCAGTGAGCAGCAGGGCTGGGACCAGGAGTCAGGCTTTGGGGGGCAGAGAGGAAGTGAGATCTGTAAGCCCATGGCAGGGAGGAGCCTGTGGCAGGGAGCCAGCAGGAATGATTTTTTTTTTTTTTTTTTTTTAACTAGTTTTCCTTATCACTGAGGCCTGCTTAGACTTGGGGAGTTGGGAGTCCCCACTCTAGGGCACCTCAGAAACCAAAGGCTGCTCCTAATCCTCATGTTCCATATGCCTCAGGGGGAGGTACCTGGGTTGTTGGATGCAGTTCCGTTATTTGCTGCTCGGTGGAATTTGCCCCCAGCATTTCTGGTGGTTTTTAAGAGCTGATGCTTGAGCTGCTTAAAATCACATATGGATATTGATTTACCTGTAAAAGTTAAGAATGGAATTTGAGTTCAAAGATTTGTGAAAATGCTCAAGTTTGTGTACTAATACATACATTTCTGGAAATATCTAAAAGTCCGGGATTTATATTAAACACTTCTCTTGATTTTTGTAATATCCACCTGTCATATTTCCATTTGGTTAATAGATGTCAGAGGGCTTAAATTTTGAGTGCCTGAATTCACTGAATTTAAAACTTCTTACATCAATTTTAATTAAATTGAATGTAGCCAACAGTATTATAAGTATTGATTAAAATATATATAAAAGCACATATCCATGAGCATGCAGATGGGGGCAACATATTAAACCATGGAAGTAGAATTAATGTTCTTTGTTTTCTGAGAAGACAAATTTTTTTTTTAGACTTAAGTTCTAGGGTACATGTGCATAACGTGCAGGTTTGTTACATATGTATACTTGTGCCATGTTGGTGTGCTGCACCCATCAACTCATCATTTACATCAGGTATAACTCCTAATGCAATCCCTCCCCCCTCCCCGTGATAGGCCCCGGTGTGTGATGATCACTAGTCAGTGATCTCATTGTTCAGTTCCCATCTATGAGTGAGAACATGCAGTGTTTGGTTTTCTGTTCTTGCGATAGTTTGCTGAGAATGATGGTTTCCAGCTGCATCCATGTCCCTACAAAGGACACAAACTCATCCTTTTTTATGGCTGCATAGTATTCCATGGTGTATATGTGCCACATTTTCTTAATCCACTCTGTCACTGATGGACATTTGGATTTTTAAAAAGCCAAGGGATCTTACAACTTTTTAGTTTGCAACTTATTTGCCCTAAAGTGAAAGTTTGGCAGCAGATTGACAGCAGCAGAAGAGTAGACCCTGGGCAAGTGTAGGCTCTGGGAGCAGCGGGGTGAGTGCTGGAAAGAACTGGCTGGAGGCAGAGCAGGTAGGTGCTCAGGCAGGTCAGGATGGCCTCAGGGCACACAGCTCAGCGAGCGAGAAAGGGTTCACATTTCCTGGAGAGCCCTTGTCTCTGCCCACAAAAAACTCAGACTCCTTCCAACTGGGATGGTGCATCTCATGTAAAAGTTGCTACTCCCAGAAAGAAAGCCAGTGGATATAGAATTTTTTTTTGCAGAAATTACTTTAAATTTGTTTCTAACCTTATCCTTTTCTTCCCCCATCTTAGTGTCTAGTAACTTTCTACAGATAACACACATATCTTAGGAGAGCGCTGTATTTCAGTTGCTGTTGGCTCTGATGTGACTTTGTGGTGTCTGAGGTTCTGCCCAGAGTGTGGCGCTCTCTGCTGAGCGTTGCTTGTTGAAGGCCCATATGGAAACTTTGCCTGTAAGCTCGTCGACCCCAGCAGTCTTGGTTCAGAAACCTTTGGATTTGCTGAGACTTCACACGGCCTTCTGAACTTCTTGCGTGACCTTTTCGTTTTAGTGTTCCCTATTAATTCAGATGTTTTCCAGAAGGTAAGTAAGCTGCTGAATGCAGGGTGGGGGGTGCCCTCCATTGGCCCTGGGGAGAAGCATCGCTGTTTCTCCGGGTGGAGCTTCCCAACCTCCATGGTGTGCTCCAAGATGGAGTAGGGTTCTTTGGCAGAAGTAACCGTCAAAGGCCCTTGTCTCAGCGGCAGGGTGGCTGTGGGTGTGCGGCCTCATGGCCATACTGACCCCTCCCTGTCAATGGCACCAAGGAGAGGAGCAGAGAGAGGTCAGGGAAATGTGCTTCCGAGACTGCGCCGTCCGTTTGTAACTAGACATGCAGAGAAAATGTTGGAGATAAGCAGGAGACAGTGTCTGTCCCTAATGAGCTCAGGCGTGCCGTCTGAATCGGCCCCCTTCCCAGGCTGGCTGTGCCAGCTGAGCGCCTAGGCCTGACTTCCCGCCAGGACAGAGGCCCCGTGTATGTTGGGGGGGGAAGGTTGGGGGAGGATCTTGCTTTATTGCCGTATCCAATGCCGATGCGGGGTCACCACTCAGGAAATGCCACGCAGGGTCAGTGATTGAGTTAAGAAACCTGGAAAACTCAGCAGTGCAGACTTTGGACATGACCCGTCCAGCCCTGGGGCTCTTTCTCTGAATTTCCTTCCATGGCATCCTCATCCCAGAGGCTCCTGTCCCCACACGGCTGTTGGCAGCTTCACAGCTTCCTCTGCCTCCCCTCCCAGGCCCTGGTGTGGCTGGGGCAGCTGCTGGCTGTGAAGACCCCACAGCCAGTAGATCATTGGTGCCAACGGCTTGGGCCTGGGTTACCTGAGCCAAGGACTGCAGTGCACAGCTGAACTCACCTTGAATGGCTGGATTGGAAGGCCTTGGGTTGCAGGGAGGCAACCAGAAGATTGCAGATCGAAGGACAATCTGCAAAGAAGAAAGGGAAATGGGTGTGCTGGATGGGCAACTGGAGAAGTCTGTGCAGAGCCTGGGACCCGGTGCAGACACAGAGCTGGCATGGGGAATCTGGTGACATGGCCACCGTGGAAGTGGGCAAAGTCAAAGGCTTCAGACCGACATGGAGGGGCTGGTCTAAAACGATCCTCCTTTTCCTTTAATCCTAGCAACTGTTGGCTTACAGGGTGGGGGAATGAGATCTGTGGTGGTGGCGAGGAGAGACAGGGATTTTAATTAAACCCCTCTTTCTGGGAGAGGGGAGTAGCCATCTCTGTAGGACGGTGAGCATTGTCATCTCAGGCAGCTGAGGCTGCTGTAACGAAACACCATTGACTGAGTGGCTTATGAACAACAGAAATTTGTTTCTCATAGTTCTAGAGGCTGGAAGGCGGGATCAGGGTGCCGCACAGGTGGGATCTCGTGTGGGTCTCTTCCTGGTTCGCACACACCTTCTCTCTGGCCCTGACACAGTGGGAGGGTGATGGATTTGCTGGGCTCCTTTCTGAGGCACAAACTCCATTCACGGGGCTGCAGCCTCGGAAACTCATCACCTCCCAAAGACCTCCTGACAGCATCGCACTGAGGGTGAGGATTTCAACCTGTGTTTTGGGGGACAGGCAGGCGGTTCATAACCGTCAGCCTCTTTGTGTATTTCTGACTCAACATTGAGTCTGCATTGGGCTGTCCAGGGGACAGAGCCTATGTGGACACTGAGCGAGGTCAGAGCTGCAAGCATGTACACATCGAGGGTAGGGGAGCTGCCAGGGCTGCAAGAACGGTGTTTCAGCATCAATCGGAGCTACTTTCCTGGCAAACGTACTCATAAGCTATCCTGGCAACATTAGCTTTTCATGAAGAGTCGATCAGGCAGTGGGGGCAGCAGGCGGTGTTGCCAGAAATTTGGAACTGATGGGCAGCAGAGAAGGGGCAGAGGCCACGACCTTGGTGTGGTCAGAAGTGCCAGGTGTCTGCCCTCCAGGCCTCACGCCTGTGACTGCAGAGACTGAGCCGACCGGGGCTTGTCGGCCAGTGTGGCTCTCATGCAGGTGATTATCGGGGTGTGCTTTCTATGTAATGTTCCCTCAACCCCATCCCCACCCCACCAGTTTCTGTGCCTAGCAGAAATCATGCTGCTCTCCTTGATGAAGCATTGAGTTTCCTATGGAGGTGTAGGAATAGCACGATTTGGCTCACATCAAAATACTTTGCAGTGAAGCTGCACAGAAGAGGATTTTAGGCTTCCATTTGATGTTTCAGACAATGCCTGAGTGTTACAGGGCCCTCTTGCTTGTTAACAAACACCAGATGAGAAAGGCTACTGGTTAATAAGGGAGACGTTTTACATTAGCGCAGAGAGGGTGGCTTGAGATAAATTCAGTGTAACGTAGGTGTGTTTGTAAGCCGTGAAAGGGACCATCTCTCTGCTGGCGACACATGTTTTCTGGTATGGATTTTGTTCTGAAAAAGGATGACTGGCATTCGGTAGAATCATTCCAAAATTCACCTGGAAGGCATCCACATGGTGCCTTGTTTTCTCCTGACATTCTGGGCAACACGAGGAATTATTCTTGTCTTCAGCACTAGCAGGAGACTTTCTCAACACCTGCTCCTCTTTGACATTGTGGGTGTGAAGGGGTCAGAGTGACCCTGTCTTCATGGAGATTTCAGACACCATGGGGACAGTGTGGCATGATGTCGGGCTCGGGTGGGATGGAGGCTTTCCCCAGAAAACAGCTGCTGATTCCAGGGCAGCCCTCGATCCCTCCTCCCTCTGTTCCTCCACGTCATGTCTGAATTAAGGTGGTTCTATCATAGCGGGGGTGTCATGTTAACTGGAAGTGTGCTTTTGTTCTGGGCGGTAAATAAATTAATGGTACATTTGCCAAGGACAGCGATATTTGATTGGATGAATCCAGTGTGGAAAAGGAGAAGGGGCTTGGCTTGGTGGGGACGTGTGTGATGGCAGCAGAAAGGAACAGCTGTACAGGCTGGTGGGATGGAGGGGCCGCGCCCGCATTTGCATGGGGTCTGTCGATGTTTGTGCCACTAGACCTGAACCTCTGTCTCCACTTCTAAAACCTGCATGGTGAGGAAGCCCCTGATGGGCCTGAGTTGTTACTTCCCGTGGTCATTGCTGGGAAGGGCCCCGGACGCCTCTCCTGGCTGGTGATGGCCCCGGGCCTGGACACTAGGTTAGTCCTGAGCTCTGCGAGGGGCTTGGGCTCCACGCGCAGCAGGTACCGGCACATGCCTTTGGACGTGAGATGTTGGCGCTTGGCTTGGAGGCCACCGCGATATGGGTGTGGTCAGGACTGGCTCATCCTTTGGGGAGAGAGCACCTGCCTGGGGGCTTCTCTGAGGTGCATAGCCCTGCAGTGCCCTCATAGGATGCCATGTCCTTTGGGCACTTCCTGCCTTTCCCCTGGACCCTCAGGTGTGGGAGCCAAGTGTGGTGTGTCTGTCACGGGCGGGGGGTGCTGAGGACACCACGTGCCTGCTCATGTGAAGACCCGAGGTGCTGCGTGGGCTTGTTTCTAGGGGGCCGTTGGCGTCTGGGGGCCTGTGGGTGTCTTTCCACTGGCAGGAAATAATGGGTGGCCCATGTTATCTTTTTTG